AACTTTAACTCCTCCTGTGAAGCATCCATAACTGATAACTATTGGTATATAAACGAATATGAAAGGAGAATATAATATACAGCTGTAATTATGTCTTCAAAGGAAGTTGTAATTGTTGAATATACTGTACATGAATAATCGCTTGTTATGTCCTTTTATCTGCATATCACTACATTACAGTGTGACATAAACTATTTATTATACAAATGGGTGACAATTTAAAGGACAAACAAACACAAAGACTGGTCTCTGTAACTTTATGGGAGAATGGAGAAGCTTTCATCAAACTTTTCAATAACCGCTTGTGTCCTGTATGAAAGCATCTGCATTTGTCATGTTTCTCCACATTTCCTCTAATTTATCACCTGTCTGTATGTTCATGTACTGCCTATATATGATAAATAGGGTGGGGGTTAAAGTACACTGTTAACATTTTGGAAGGTTTTTCAAAGATCATTGTACAAATATTGTGTTTGTGACTTTTTGGCCCTCTTACACATTTCCCCTGTTTGTCTTCCTCCCTTACATTTCCCTCTAACTTACTCATTTATTAACATTCAAATAATCCTCTTCTCCCATTCTTCCTTCATTCCTCCCTGCATCTCATCCTTCCTTCCCTCCCTCCTGCCCCCCTTTGTTCTCCCCCTTCTCTTTTTCCTCCTTACCTTCCCAGTAAATCCCAGTCTCTGACCAATGCCTTCAACGCCTTCAGCGACTCCACTTTCTTCCGCGGGGTCTCGAGCTCCGGAGGTGACGGCCAAGAAGAGGCAAAGGCAGAGACCATTCGCAACCTCCGAAAGTCCTTCGCCAGCCTTTTTTCTGACTAGACACAGCCAAACCTTAGTCAGCCCCTTGATTGATTCTGGCCTCCCCATTTTACTATCGGCCAGTGATGACTTGATTGACATTAAATGTGAACCAGTCTGAGATTAAACTTTGTGTGTTAACTGTACTGTATTCCCTCCGTCCCAGACCCTCTTTTCCTCCCTTTTCAGCTTCTCTGTGTGAGTAACAGTGAGGCCTGCTGGGTAGGATATTCAGTGAATGATGCTGTGCCAGAGTAATTGGACTGAAGGAGTTACGTCATTGATATAGAACAGAATAAACTAGAAGAATATAAAACAAAATGTTTATTTTTCCCAGAGCACACTTTAAGGAAGACTTTCTGAAGTATATGAAAAGTATAAAAGTCAAGACTACAGATGGAATGTACATACAGTATATATATTTATATATACAC